AAGAAGACATCCAACATTCCTAATAGGAATAACGAGCGTATGAAAATGAGACGGAACTAGTTGTGGCGTTAGACAAGCTTTAGATAGAGGAACAGATTAAAAAGGAATAACTACATAAAAAGAGGATTTGATGCGAGGTCGGAAATGCAGTCTACTCAAGCCGGGATGAGGCAATGTGAATTTGATTGGAAACGTCAGCTCTACTCGCATCATTGTGGGAAAATTCTTCTTCTACCAGTCCTTCATCACCTTCAACTAAATTGGGTGAATACATTGGCAGTAGATGCACCATAGTCAACAAACTTCTGTGTCTGATGTCTCCGCTGGATTAAACCTAAACGGCGGCAGAATGGCGAAATAGTCAGTTTCAGTCTTCTGGTGAGATCGCCCTATGAATCTCTTCAGCATGCACTTTCATACCAAATAAAAATCATAGCATCACTTCTTTTAATGGAATAAGGGCAACCGACTCTTTTTTTCCTAAACTTTCTCAGTTGCATGCAATAATGGCCTCTGCAAACAGAGACATACACTTTCAACCCTGAGCAGAGATGTGGCATCTTTAATTGAACCGGACATATTTCCCAAAATGGCGCTGCCATCATTTTTGGTACTTCTATTCTCCTAATTGCAATGGATGGTAAACTCGAGTTCTATTTAATCTAGTTTGCTCAACCGCATGCCTCATGCCGTTGAGGTTCAAAAGATTCGCAGTAAACCCAGAACACTTGCTGTTATTTTGGTCCATTTTGCTCGAGCAATCATAGTCAAACTTATTCATCACACCCAATACCTCTTGATACGACTCAGATGCACATTCTGGCCATCCTGCCCCACCTTGAATGGTGGAAAAAGGATTGATTGAATCAGGGACACGAGCCGATTTGATGAAATCTTTCTTCTCACAACGCAAACCTAATCCAATGACCCTTTTCCCCCCTCCTATCGCCATGGCAATTGTAGGAGAGCTGAGGTTGGCCGACAAGAGGCCGTAATCGAGACCTGCGTCCGATGACTCTCTGAAGTGGATGCATCGGATGCTCAATCTTTCGCTTCAGGGCAGGTTATGCTGCGATGCGTCCACCTGCAAAAATGTGTGAATTATGCCGGCAACGACTTGGCGAAAAGTCCACCCTACTCTAACAACTATGAAAATGTACCATCAAAAAGCCTTTATCTCAAAGATTATCCCCACCTTGTCCGGAATTGTCAAGAGGCAGAAATCTCCTACTCGGTCTTCTGCTCATTCCTCTCAGGCCTCATCACGACATCCTCTCTTCGTCTGAACGAATGCCCACTCTTCCCCCCCTGTCTGACATGTGGCAGACAGGCTCAGAGAACTGCAAAGTCATAGACCTGATCGTGTGGGGAGCAGGACCTGTCGGTACGAGGCTTGTTTGGAAAGTCCCATTCCGAACTTGGTTGCATGTCGATCTTGTTCCGCATGGGCTCATTGGCTTTGGAGTGACGTGTGCAATCTCGTTTGGGCAGATATCCCATTCTTTGTTCTGATGTTGAGGCAAATTAGACATGCTGGTGTATGCATTTGTCGACAGTCTAGTTGCTGGGTTACTCGTTGCTTCAAGACCGAATGTTGTTTGCTGTCAACGCGATAGTATTCACTTTGGTACCAAAGAAGATGTTCTGCACTGCTTTTTGACTCCGATCTTGGCAACACTCCAACTTTGGAAGTTTCCTGGCCAGGCGAGTTGACCTGCCTTGCAAAAGAGGTAGATTAAGACATGGAAATTATGGAATGATTCCGGTGAATGTCTGGCACCCTCTTGACTTGCAGTTGCAGGAATGAGGTCCAGCTCATTATATATATATATATATATTATTGACTTGAGTTTAAGGGAGCAGAGTAATGGATATAATTGAAAGATGGAAACGAATCATCACAAGCAGCTTGTGGACATACAAAAATCCGCAAAAGGAACAAATATATATGCGAGCAAAGATTTTATTAAGCTACGCAAATGGATTGGAAATATTTTAAGAAATTCCTTTCGCCTTGTTGCTGATTAAGTGCCCTTTCTTGCAAAAGTTATGAGGGCTTCAAATTGCGCTTACAATGTTTGGTGGGCCAATTTGCACTGTAAATCAAATGCAAGCTTTATTTCAATTTGAGGAAATTGTTTCCCAAAAATGTGATCAACTTCTGTATGCTCTATTAGGTCTTCTTGAATGAGCAATGAGATTGTAGATAATCTGATTTAAAGTGAAAAAAATGTTTAATACTATATTGCAAGACCAAACACTGTGACGAGACAATACATTGTCTTATTCTCCCATCGAGTTGTGCAACTTCCTGTTAGTAAGAAAAAGTATAAAAGATTAAAGATAGAGTCATGCTGACAGGATTACATCAAATAACCAACATAATTCATAATTAATTAGCGAAATACAGAGGACAATAATTGAGTTTTATTACTGTAATATTAGATTAAATAAATTGATTACGATTATTTAATATTCACTCTAATTTTTATCTAATAATTGGCCTAAGGAAAATCTGAAAACCAGACCAAAATAGCCACAATATCATAATCAAAATTTTATTAGATGAGATTAACTGCTACGCAAATAACACCTAAAGGTTTGTTAAAGGTAACAATTTGAAGAGAAAAATATGTCAAAAGATATAGGCTAAACTATATGCCTTTTGCGCGCGCTGGCTATACTCAAAATCGAAGGAAGAACGTAAAAGAATGATTGAGAAACCAAATGCTATATAAGCCTAGGAGCAAAATGTACACCTAAAATGTTCTATGAATCACAGAAGTTACCGAAGGCAATTAATGAAAAACCATGTGGGAAAGAGGAATAAATCACACCAGGGACTGGTTTATTTTACCAAGTTTCATTAAGGTTTATCTAAAAAAAGAGTTTGTAGATACGAAAACCAAGACGGCGTGGCCTTTGGATTTGTCACAATCCTTTTTAATTACATAGTATCGGTTTGATCCCGTTTTCTTAAACTTAGTCGGAGCGACAGGGAAATCTCGTGGAACGAACTTAGTCCTGCATCCTGTCATAGTATTCATGAGGACTTCCAGCATCTGACCCTTAACTTGATATATCGCCAGATGTTTCGCGGGCATTGTCAATGAGAGACACCAGCCTTAGCATAGAGTTATGAATTATCAAAGTGGCAAGTTGCAACTATGTACTAAGGATGGTGCTTCTCACCGACAATGTCAGCGAAACATTTTGGAGTGTACGGTCCAAGGCTGGAAATCATCATAGCAGAGAACTCAGGACAAAGTACGTTCCACAAGATCTCCCTGACGCTCCGACAAAATTGCAAAAGCAACAAATATTTTAAACTATTGAGATCTTTAAAAACAATTACGTAAGTTTCAATCTCGCTTCTCGTGCGAACTGAACTTGCAATTTGATCTTTCTCCATCCCTTTTGATGGACGTTGAATAGGAGGAAGAAAGAAAGTATAAGCTTGGATTATGGTTGTTTGTCAAGCATCTGGCATTCGGTACAGCCGGCATTTTGCTCGATGTCTGGATGGGAAACAAATGTCACCGTATGTTTCAGATAGGTAATCGACAGCTGTGCATGTGTGGACCGTGGAAACATTGAGTCAGCACGAGCATCACCTGATACATGACCATAGTGCTCCAATATGGCAATTATCAAGAAGTCTGTCCAGCCGAAGACCGGTTATCATAGCTTTAACTTAAGACGAGACCTCTCGTCCTTAGATCTATAGCCAAACATGATGTAAATATGTTACCCGGGATCATTAGGCCTCAACTAAGATACTTCCTTCGTTATTAAGTAGGCTTTCGAGACTAGTTCCACAAGCCATGGAACCCTCGGGTTAAAGACCGGAGTCATGTCAGTACTAAGCTGTTTTACAGAATTTCATATAAGCCAATTATCTTTAACTTGGAATCTGGCCACAAATTCATCATTACT